CAATTCGATTTGAAAAAATCAAATCAAATTCAAATTGCTTAAATATTTGATTCGATTCGATTTTGAGAAACCCTAATCATAAGTATTATAACTTTAGTATCTCAATCTCAAATTATTATCTGTATTCAGATTAAAGATGGTTCCTATAATTATTTTTAAAATTTTTAACTAGTTGCAACTTAAGTTGCAACACTTGGAGTTGCAATATTTTATGAATTTTTATATTAAAATAAATTTACAAGGAGTTGCAACAAAGTTGTAACTCAATTTGCAACTTACCAAGTTGCAACTTCTTAATTATAATGTTCATCTTTAATTCGGATATTTACTATATCTGATTTTATAAGTGAATTAATCCATAAATATACTACTTCAGCTTCAATTTTGGTTGACTCGTACTTCTCATCAAAAATTGTTTCGAAAACTGATTGTGTTCAAATAATATTTTCTTACGTTTGTTCTTTTTCTGATGGAAATACAGACTTAATGATCAAAGCTACATATATATCTGAATTTGAGTCATTAGGATCACTTGATATATAAAGATCATCATGAATACTTTTGACATTTTCGCTTCACTTCCATTGAATCAACTGTTCTTTGCTGAAACTATTATCATAAGGTTTTATTCTATTTATACCAAATATACTTCAAAGACTTTCTTTCAATCTTCGCACATAGTATCCTTTCTTGGTTTTATTGGCATAAAATAACTATATCGAATATATTAAGCAAATTATTATTCAATCAGCTATCGACTAATATTGATATATATTATACTTATACTAGAGTACAACTTTTCACTTCACAAATCATCAAATGAGATATAGTCTCCCGCAATTTTTCGAGTTGAGAAACACAGTAATCATCATCGTTTAATTTTTTTTCGAGTTGTTCTTTGACATATTATTCATTTACTTATTAATATTCGTGAAATAATTCATGAGCAAGCTTCTTAATCACATTCTGTAATAATAAAACATAATATTATTATAAATAAAAATAGTATAGAAAAATAACAAAGAAAAAATTGTAAATTACTTCATAAAATTCTCCAGTTTTCTTCTTTCCCTTTCTCTTGCTTTTACCTATTAGTATAATACCACTATGAATCTGATTTTCTAATATCGATAATATAGACGTAATATGATCCTGTTGCTTATTTAGCATATTTTCAAATTTTTCTTGATTTTTTATTACAAGATTAAGTTTTGTTGCGTTTTTTTGGCCAATTTGAATTAACTTGGTTAATGCATATAAATCGATTAGAGCAAATTATTGTTAACAATGATTGGTTTAATAATATATGATAAACATGGTAATAAGTATTAAGAACCTTCACTAATCAGAGCTTCCTTTAATATTGCTAATTCTGATGATAATGTCTTTGTTTTTGACTTTGATACTACCACTTTTGATGGTGGCTTCAACAACGTTGACAATATTTCTATTACTTTTGATGATGTTGCATTTGATGATATTGCTATCACCTTCGATGATGTTGGAATGGAAGGAGAAGAAGGAACTACTACTGTAACTGCTGAAACTTCTTTCATTTGATATTGAGAAACACAATAATTATATCTAAATGAAAAAGAAATAATTAATATAAAAGTAATAAATATGACTTGTTTTACTTGAGATGATTGTTTATTGAACATGTTTAATTTCACGATTTTTGTCTTCTTTGTTGATGAAATAGCATCGATAGTATCTATTGATAGTGTAAGAAAATTAATATACTTAATTAATTTTAATAAAACATTATAAAATTATATATCACTTTGCATTGCATCATCTGCATTCTAAAATATAACAAAATGATCAATAATATTCAATTAAATTTAAGTTATAAATGATTTATATATAATTAATTAAAAAATAATTACTCTTTCATTTGCTGTAGTTGATCTAGTTCTTGGTTGTTTAAGAGAATTGATATTTACAGTATTTTGTTTATTCATTGTTTTTCTTATTCATCATTAAAATAAATATAATAAAAAAAAAGCTTTATAAATTATTAAATTGTGATGATGATTTACCCGTGCTAATATGATATGATTAACATTAACAAATTGATATGTCAATATCAAACTTCAATCAGTTCACTTTTTTTTCCCTCTCTTACTAATTAAACGAAATTAATATTGAAAATGTGTCAATATTGATGCTCTAATTGTGAAAAGGTGTTCAGTCGACTTTCTTCTTTATGAAATCATATAAGGACTAGTAGGGCAAAAATGGGGTTTCTGGGACAGATTTCAAAATAGTATTCAGAAAAGCTTCCTGACCGCCCGCGAACCCATTTTAGCTATATGAATCAATTATCAAATTCAAACTTATAGCGCATTTTGACTAAATTCTAGATGATGTTATCGAACTTGACTAGGAATTAGCCTGTCTGATACCAAGAATTACA